ATGTAAACCGGCACTTGGACGAGACCGTGCCTGGAAATAGAGAAATGAATAGGTATCCAGAGAACAGACCGAGTAACATACTCGGGATCGTCATGTCATAATATTTATTCCATGCTCAGAATATCCTTCACGTACGTGCCGGAGTAGAGTGAAGCGCAAGACCGTGTATTCAAGCTTTGCGATATTTTAATCACTGGTGTTGATTCCAATTAGTTGACAGAAATAGATTATCCGATAGACAGTCACCTGTAGTCGAGTAGGCCTGATCTGAAGGCGCCCTTTATTACTTTAATACTTGAAGTGTTATCTAGGCATTGGTTCCCAAGTGGATGGTGGCTGTGCAAAGGTTACAGCTGCATCCATCGACGAAAGGGTATGTAATGCGTACCAAACAAAGCATTATTGGCTGGACCTCCGCGACGTCGATGATAGTGCGCTCCAACTCATTTCGGCTGGTTCAGCCTACGGACTTCCTATTGTGGATCCTTGTGGGTGCTGGAGTCAAAACAAAAACTATTCAGAAGTCTGTTCAAAATTCGGAGCTCTTTAGAGACCTCACCAAAACAAAGAGGAGGAATCTTCGTTTTCGGAATTGCTCAAGCGCTAAGGACAGCATGGCCCGCAGACGCATATTCAATATGGAAATCGTACAGCAGCTAGAATGAAATGGCCGAGCGTCGGGGGGTCACGTAGGAAGGCCGTTGACGGGAGTTCATAGTTCAACTTCTGGAGCATTTTCCTGCAAATACAGACGACGTTCTGAAAACGGCTGTGGAAAAGATGAGTGAGTTCCCGCGAAATTGTTTCGAGACAGCACCGAGTCACTTCAAGACAGGTATGAGGAATAGAAATCCCAGTCATAAAAAAGCAGCGACTTTTGATCTAGTATTTTGAGGACCTTTGAGGAGTTTGGGTAAATGTGAATGGAGGAGGATGATGGCACAAAACAGAGCTAGGGTGATTACCTCAGCGGTCACGGAACACCACGGTCAGGTGCACCGTGACCAAGTGACATTCTCCTTTTTTTGTTTTATCCACGACTGTCATGGAGCCACATACTGTGGTCAAGATGTCCCAGATAAAGCTAGTGCGTGAAAACGAAAAGTTGAAACGACAGCTCGCCGCTTCGCAACAGGTGCGTCCTCTTTTGATTTGGCTAAGATTCCTGCCGCTCACGACTTGTTATATAGAAAGCTGCCGCGCTTCAAAATGCATTACAGGCATTTGTAAACGACAAGGATCCTATCGAAATTTCGTCTGACGAGAGTGATGATGGTGAAGTCAATGGGAAGAACGGCGAAGAGGAGGAGCAGGAAGAAGACGACAAGGAAGACGGGATACATGACCCGCATGATCCTATCTGGGACGACCATCACGGAATATATCGCTGCCCGCGTTGCACTTGGGAGGTTCTGGACGCCTACTGCCAAAGCCAACACTGCGCAACAAAACTGAATTGGACTGAGGTACGCTTTCATTGCGCAAACCGAATTGATAATGATTTACTGACTCCTACATACAGCAACACAGTCAAGACATCGAGGAAGACGGTCCAGAAGATGAGAAATACCGCGCTATCTCATGATCGCGCCCTTAGACCTCGGCGTACTACGCCACTTAACGACGTCCCAGCGGAGCTGCTCGCCAACATTCCGGAAATATACGCCTCATCGCCTGTAGAATATGAATCGCTCCTGCAACGTGGGGCAACGCGCCACATGTGCGAACGCTACAAGCTAAGGTACACACGTAAACGTGGTATCGTTGCTTTAGCCGACGAAAACTTTCTCGCAGACTTCTCTACCCCCGTCGTCTGCGAAGGAGATGTGTGGAAGATTCACCTTGGGCGAAGAATTAGCCTGCACAGCGAGGATCACGACGGAACGGAGTTCCTCACCGCTTTAGTCGAAGAGGCACTGATATACCCAATGCGTAGCGAGTACTCCAATTGTTTTGCCGAGCGTTGGGAGACCGTGGGCGAGTACGAAGCGGCTTTGGAGTGCACTGTCTGGACGACAAGGCCGATGGACAAGGGGGGCCTATCGGCGCAGTCGAGTACGACGGAGACAACAGCTCGGACGATCTCGATGCCGATGCATACGGACCTGACGGACCTGACCTCGATGGGCCGGATGGCCAGCCAAATATTGTAGGCAGGCGTTGGGAGCACGACCTAAAGATTCGCGCCGAGGATAGAGCGCTAGACCCGTCCTTCGGGAGAGTTTACAAGCCGCCTATTGGTTATGCATGGGAGAGGTATGACCCTGATACAGATGATGAGGCGGAGGAGGGCGATAGCGACATGGAGGTGGACGATCCGACACGTCGAAACGGCTCTTGGAATTGCGACCAGTCGGACGAGGAGTTCCCTTCAGATTACAGCGAGAACGAGATGGAAGGGTGCGACGGTGATCTTGATGACGATAGCGAGAGTGACGATGGGGAGGATTATCAGGATAAGACCGAGGGACAATCTCTGCCTACTGATGAAGAGGCCGGAGATGTGGAGATGCAGAACTCGGAGCAGCGCATTCTGAGACAGGAGGATGATATTGCAGGGATCGACTTTGACTCGGATGAGTGCTTAAGCGGTGACGAGGACGTGCTTCATGGAAGATGTTAACTAAGACTTGTGCATCATCCTTACAACCATATTTAAGAAGAATGGCTATCACTGTCATCAGCTGGACGCGACCGTGTAATGTTGCTGAGCACCGCGTTCGTCACCTGAGCCAATTAAATTGGACGGCCTAGGCCCCTATGATCTAGGCCACTCTCAACTCGGCCACTTATCCAACTTGACGTGCCCAATCAACCATGAGTAGCACCGAGAAGCCAATCAGGCCTGGCTTTCAATTTCGAATATCTGGCCTTGGCCTGGCCTCCTGCGTTACGACACGACGCGTCCATGACATGGGCACAGATCTCCACCTCCGTCATTTCGTATTCATTCAATCCAGGAGTCACCTGAAAACTCCAGGCCTCGAAGACATCTACGCCTTTTAATCCCCACTTGGACGCGTGCCGTAACTCCCATTAAACTTCGCTATAAAATGTCTCTTCTCAGGACCCGGTTAGCCAACACTACAGCTGTTCTTCGACTCTCCACTAGGAGTGTTACTACTCAAACACCTCGCTCCATTCCCGTACATCCCCGAACGCACATTCACAAACACACTATCGACATGTCGCAGTTCGTCATCCCGAAGACTCAAACTGTCGCTCTTGTCGAGAAGAGCGGCGGAACCATCGTCATGAAGAATGACTGGCCCGTCAAGCAGCAATCGGAGCTTGCGCCTGGGGAGTGCCTTGTCAAGATTGACGCTACTGGTACGTTATCGTGCTTCACCATTGACGTGGGACTCACTTGCCTCTTATTATAGGCTGCTGCCACACTGATCTCCACGCCGCTTTGGGTGATTGGCCATTGAAGGCTAAATCACCCCTCATTGGCGGCCACGAAGGTAAGCTGAATTAGGTTCTGGAGAGAATGAGATGGGTAATTTACACGGGTCACGGAAGGTGTTGGGATTATCGTCGCTATCGGGAGCAACACTGCGCACTCCCCAGTGAAGATTGGCGATCGCGTCGGTATCAAATGGCTCGCAGATTCCTGCTTGAACTGCGAGGCCTGTCGCAATGGCCGCGAGCAGAGTACGTCGTATATCCTTCACGTATACTACTTTGCTGATTTGTTCTACGCGTAGATTGCCCCGACGCCAAACTCAGTGGCTTCAACGTCGACGGAACCTTCTCAGAATACACCGTCTCATTCGTGAACCATGTCACTCCCATTCCCGCCAACATGCCCTCTGACGAGGCTGCCTCTATCCTGTGCGCTGTACGTCAATATCTTTCTTTGCTTGGCATCATCTCACTCTTGTTATCAGGGTGTGACTGTGTATCGCGCAATTAAATATTCCCAGACACAACATGGCGACTGGATCGTTCTCCCCGGCGCTGGAGGAGGCCTCGGTCATCTTGCAATCCAATACGCGCGCGCTCGCGGTCTGCGTGTCATCGCGATCGGTACGCGTCAACTATCCATCAACGAGTCTAGATCTAATTGTGTTCTTTACTTAATTTAACAGACAGCGGCGAAGAAAAGAAGCAGCTCTGCTTGAAGCTCGGTGCGGAGGTCTGGATTGACTTCAAGGAGTCCAAGGACATCGTTGGTGACGTTAAGGCTGCCACGGGCGGTCTTGGCGCGCACTCTGCTGTCGTCACCACCGCGTCTCCGTCTGGATACACCCAGGCTGTCGATTACCTCCGTACTGGCGGCACCCTCATGGCAGTTGGTCTCCCAGGAGAGGCTAAGCTCGAGGCCTCCATCTTCTTCACTGTCTTCAAGGTATGTTTATCTGCAATTGCTTCGTCGATACTTGACTGAAGGGACATCTGTACAGAGTATAAGCATTCTCGGCTCATATGTTGGTAACCGTGCAGACGCGTTCGAGGCCATCGACATCGCATCGAACGGACATGTCAAGGTCCACTTCCAGACGAAAGATCTTGCGGAGCTCCCCAAGTAAGCCTTCTTCTACGTTGTGGTCTCCTGTCACTAACACCCTCCTTTAGCGTCTACGAAGGTCTGAAGGAAGGCAAGGTCGCTGGCCGTGTGGTTTTCGACATGTGCAAGCACTAAGATTTCTCCCTTTAATGCCTCTTCATGGACAAAAAGCATTGTATGTAGGATACCAAAATTGGGAAGTATAGTAGAAAGTAGTCAATAATGATCATAGCGTATCTTTGGTTCAACGCGATACGATGAATGGAGAACAACAGTCTTGTGGGCAAGCAAGATGATCTTGCAGCACGGTTAGCCGGCCGGGCGGGCTGGGCAACAGTGGCGGTTACTGTATTGCGATCAGGAGTGGTGCCAGATCGCCGGCCACAAGTGTGCTGTTTGTTACCTGTATTGAATAATAAATATTCTCGCCGCTCGGTTAAAAAGCGCAAAAACTGGAAGAGAAAAAAAATGGAGTAAGGCACTCAAGCGATGCATTAAGGGGGAATCGAACCCCCGGCGGGTCGAAGAGTCACGCCAATTCGATAATGGCAACGACCCAGGTTACCACTACCCCATTAATGCATACCTGCACTCGAACTACTCACATCTCGACGTCAATTCGTTCCAGAGAGTTTGTTAAACTCTCTCCCTTTATCCCTCGACAACTCGTCTGTGCCCGGATCTATCAGCTATAGCGGCGCTTCATCCTACACCTAATGCTTTCATTCTATAAGTTTCGCATACACGCCCCACTGCAGAAGAAATCAGGCGACATCGCCCCTGCTACGTTAATTTTACACTCCAAGGTCAACTCTATGGCGATGGATCTTCACTGCACTGCCAAATGGTCGGCGACAACGGTGGCATCGGATCCTACGGTCATTAAGCCTCGTGGAGGTGGACTTTTACTCGAGCTGGCCTCCTACTAGTCTCTTTCACCATCCGATGTTGTCTACCTCTCCTACATTGTTCACATTGCTCTTTTGACTACTGCTCTAGCTGCACCCGAGCCAGTCATCACTCCCGCACCCGCTGCTATCGTACCTAGGCAGCTCCCAGATGGTATGTGTGCTTCCATACACCAGATTGCGTCTAACCTAGAGGCTCAGATATCACAAGCGCGCGCGAATATCTCAGCAGCTGTCAGCGCTCATGTACAGACGACGTGCAATCTACAATCATCAGCTCCCGGCTGGCAGTCGACGAAGACGACAAGTTTTGCAACAACTACGGGAACAAGGAGGATGATGGAAATGCGTGTTATGTGAGTCGCACTGCTCTTCTTTCTCCAACATCCTTTCATCCACGAACAGTGCGGCAACCTCCTACAAGATGCTGATGCGCAGATGAAACCACTCAGAAGCTGCATCAAAGATTCATGCACAGATATGTCGGACGAGGCCTTTACATTTCTCGGCGTAGGCAACTCGGCCAAAGTCAGCGCCTTCGTCAGGCAGCTAGCAATAACATGTCGCCCGAGTGTCAATCTGTTCGATTTGACGTTGTTTCCTGGGGGCAGTAGTACCTCAGATGATTCGGAATCGTCGACGAGGGGTGACGAGTCGACGACGCGGGTGTCGTCAAGTTCGAGGGTATCGTCTTCCAGCGTGTCGTCGCCTACATCCAGATCGACATCAGCATCGGCGTCGTCAGCATCGGCCACGGAGTCGTCGGACTCCGCGACCAACATCCTGATGGCACTGCCTGACACTGCTTTTGTTGCAACGCTTCGTATGCGGCTTGATCATGGCGGTAACGGTCTATGCGTTATGATCTTTGATCGCGTTTCCATCATGTTCCTTGCGCTGGCAGTGTACAGTAGGGCATCTTCATCCATATTACCTGTGACTACATGATTTTGGCCGAATATCAGAACCGATTTCCGAGATAGCAAAACTGTTCCTTTTATTCAATTGTTCGTATTCAGCAATCACAAAATTCTTAACCTGCGACTGGAGGCGCGACTTTCCTCCGCCTTGGGGAACGTCACGGACAAGACGCCATCCTTGAGAGCGGCTTTAATCTCTTTGTCCTAAATCATACAGTCAATCGACGCGTTCTCGAAGATACACTCTCAAAGGATTTACTTACCTTAACGCCCTTTGGCACCTTTATAGTCCTTTCAAACCGCCGTACCTTCGCTCACGTAGAGCGTACTCCTTTTCGTCGTTCGTGTCTGAAGAGGATTTAGTCTCTCCAGAGATGGTAAGCCACCCATCGTCCCTAATGTCGATGCGAAGATCTTCTCTCCTGAGGCCGGGAACCTCAAGCGTGGCTGTGGCTGTCTTTCTCTTGGTATCTTCGTGTACGTCCATTCTAAGAAAAGTTTTCAGCAATTCGTCGCAGGTCTAAGGACGGATTGCGTACCTGGGCTGCACGATATATGACGCAGCATTTCCTGGACCGTCAAGCAGCCGCTCAGGATTCTCAAAAGCCCGATCCACACCTCCGAAGAAGCGATCCATGTTGTAGAATGGGTCATAGTATGACGAATAGCGTGTTGGAGAACGATCCGCGTCTCCATCTATCTCGGCCGTGGCAGGTGGCCGACTGCCACAGAAGTATTCGAGGTGTGCTGGGATCATGAGCCCCGCCAAGGCAAGCGCGTTGAAGTGGCGGCAGAGATAGTGGAACATTTCGCTGGGGGTCAAAAGGGAAGCGAAAGAGAGCTTTGGAGGGACACGTTGGTTGTATGTGGTCAATGTTCTCTGCCAAATATTTACGGTACGGTCAGCTGCCATCAGTTCTTTGATAAATAGTTCCCATAAGTTGTCCAAATGCGTGCCATGTAGAATTCGTGTAGCGGTTGGTGGGGCTCACGTCGTTTAACAGGTCGAAGAGGTGGAAGGAGAGGAAGACAAGAAAGTAGAAGGACTGATCCAGTATGAACGTCATGAAAGATTTGTGGGAGTTATTGACCTAGGAGTCCAGTGAAAACTGTACAGGATGACCATGTAATTTACCGTTTTGGGATGGTTGGAAAGTGCGAACCTGCGCCTTCGTGGAGACTGACTGCCTTCATGCCGGGGTGTAGGATTGCGCGGTACGGCTGGCGATTTGAATCCTTGTGGCAGTTTCGCAAACAGTTTCGAATACCCCACAGCTTCTTTTATATATCTTGGTGGTCCGGGGATCTACTTGATTGTGAAAACGTAATAATTTGAGATCATACGTACCGCTGCTCGAACGTCCACAGAACATCTGAACAAGATTCGTTTGCGAGACCGTCGGCCCGGTTCCGCAAAAGCTCCGAGGCAGCACAGCCACCCGATACCCCTTGTCTTGCAACCACCACCATGTCCACCGCCCTCCCTTTGAAGACGCCGACCAAGGCTCAAGAAAAGGAGAAAGAGGCAGAGAAAGATGTCAACGTCACGCCAAAGCAAGCATCAGCGGTTCCAGGAATGAAAGTGAAGGAAATCTCCAGCCCGCACGAGTTGACTGCATTTGTGCGTCCACTTTATGGAATTTCCTTGCATTCGCGTCTAAAACGCGCTTTCCCTAGGTCGAGACGCTGTTGGAGCAGCTGGATAGCAAGTTTGACGAAATGTCTACGCAGATTTTGGACCGCAGTGCGTGCAGCTACTCTCTTACACATGTCTTGGAAATGCTTATCGCCTTCCAGTGTCCCAAATGTCGACTCGGGTAGACGCGCTGGAAGCTTCCATTCAGGATATAATAAACGGCGATATATCCCCAACCATGCCTACGTCGCCTATCAGAAGGAGTGGCAGCGATAATGGTATTTAGTGTTAGTAATGGAAGCGATATAGTTCGGCGTGGTGAGTCTTCCAAATATATGCGCATTTCTTTAGCTGACGACTCGTATACTCCCATAGTAGTACCCGACGCGACATATGTTTGTAGATCGACCGGAATTTAATGTTGTACATCCACCCCAGCCCCCTGAGCCTTGCTTTCAACATTTCAAAATTGTTTTGCTCTTCAATTAACCGCATTGCGATATTCAATCTGCGAATTGTTTGGCCAGATTAGTAAGTTCCTATCTTGCCACTGCTTCACGCGCTTAACCATCATAGAAAAGACATTGCTCCCCGAACCGTTTTCGTCAAAACTAGTAGGTCGTTCTTGTTTGCTTTTACGCGTCTGATTTAAAAGGGATACTCATCTTGATATCAGGCTCGCTACCAACATCGGATTTTTACGAAGAGAGTAAGGTTCAATGTTCGTGTTAGATAACATCTGAATTTCTGACTATTATCAACAGAATCGCTTTACGAATCGACTGCGTCGGTTGTCCAGAAGCTTCCCTTGATGCTACCGGCATAGTACACATTGTCCGAAATGTCTGTGAAGGTCACGGTCATGGAATCAGTATCGAAACTCGTTTCGTTCTGTAAAGCTTATGGTTAACACCACATATAAGCATCGGAAACGGAAAACTTACATGGCTCCCACCGCCGTCGCCGTTGACACAGATGAAGAAGAAGCAAGAGCCCGCAGTGGCCTGTGTCTCCTGGAACTTGCTGTACGCCTCCTGGTTGCTGAAGGTGAATTTGAAGGAAGGGCGGTAGATGATGACGGCGAGATCAGAGTATTCCGCGGCTGGGCCAGGCTTGTCGCTGGTACCCATCCATTTGTCGAAGACCGTCTTGGCTTTGGCGTTGCGCTCCTTGTCGCGGTCCTCCGAGGAGTCGTCCCCGCCATCGCTGTCATCCCCACTACCACTGTCATCGCCAGTATCCTTATCATCGCTCCCAGTATCCTTATCCTCGCCGTCGCTCCCAGTATCCTCATCGTCGCTGCCCGTATCCTCATCGTCGCTGCCCGTATCCTCATCGTCGCTCCCAGTATCCTCGCCGTCGCTCCCAGTCCTCGCCGTCGCTCCAGTATCCTCATCGTCGCTGCCCGTATCCTCATCGTCGCTGCCCGTATCCTCATCGTCGCTCCCAGTATCCTCGCCGTCGCTCCCAGTATCCTCATCGTCGCTGCCCGTATCCTCATCGTCGCTCCCAGTATCCTCGCCGTCGCCCTCGCTCTCGGTATCCTCATCCTCACTACCGGTATCTTCATTGTCACTGCTAGTATCGTCATCGTCGGTAGCAGTGTCGTCGTCGTCGGTGGTGGTGTCGTCGTCGTCCTCAGTAGGAGCATCACGCCTCCGCTGTATGATCTTGACGGTGCCCTTGCCAAGGTCCCTTTTCGCGTTAACACCATCCAGATTAGCGACCGCGCTCGCCGTCCGACCACCGTCCCACCAAATACCCCTCTGGACCTTGATGGTTGTCCCAAACCACTCAGCCTCCATATTTGCCACCTTCAGGTTGACATGTGTCTCCTTGGTACTGGTGCTGCTGCCCACATTGATGCTGAACTTGCTGAACCCCAAGGAGATCCCACCGCCGCCGTTGTCCTGGTCGCTGGTTGTCTTGCCGCTGGAGTCTTTCGAGTTGTACTGGAACTTTTGGCTCTTGGAGTTAGCGCGCCATGAGGCGACTGTGCCACGGATACCTGGGAGATCGTAGTAGGCGACAAGGTTACCGCCAGCGTGGGTACCGTCGAGCGCGTCGCCAGTGCCCTTGCCCAGCTTCATCGTGAGGCCAGGGACACTCGCGCTACCG